AGAGAGAGAGAGAGAGAGAGAGAGAGAGAGAGAGATTAAGTGCGCGCCCACGCGATGGAGAGAGAGACCACGCGTACGAGCGATCGAAAGAGAATGGTAAGAATGCCAAGACGTGCGCTCGGCCAAGCTATAGCTAATGTTTGTGCATGCCAGGTGTGTAATGGGGAACAAGGTAAGCGAGTGTTGAAAGTTTTTTCTTGCGTTTTTATATACTTGTATACACTTACATAACACTTATCTCCACACACAAGTATATATATATATATATATATATATATATAATACATGTATACAATACTAAATTATATAACTCAGACAATTTCGAAAATTACGTGGTGCATATTTTAATTGATTTATTCAACATAAGTCGATTCTCCGTAGTATTATTATGGTGATGCAAACATTAGCCAATTAACAAACAACTATATATTGTAAAGGAAAAAATGCTAATACTATAGATTGCGTGTGTGCGTACTTCCATCACCAGATGGCGCGCATCTACAAACTTCCACCGGCAAAATGGCGGAACAGATGAGAAGTCATGTTGCCACATTGTTGCGAGGAATTGACAGGTTGTTACTGAATTTTAAGCCACCATTTGATTTCTCGCGCACCAAAACTAGTATTACGTCGATTTTCTCTATATGTACACATATCACATAATAGTCCTATATACATGTAGTGTTTATAGTAACGCGGTCGTCTCTGAAATCTGAATTATTGACAGCAGGCTGTCTGTAGACTGACTGTAGCACAGCCACAGGGACTTGAGGCGGAAAAAAAGTGTTATATATATAAATAGAAGATTATAATTCTAATTCTATATATATATATATATATATAACTTCTATTTATATATATAACACTTTTCTTTTTTTTTCGCCTCAAGTCCCTGTGGTCTGTAGACTACTGTAGTCTGTAGTCTGGGCTGCGACTAGGGGCAGCGCGTCTCCCAAATCCGAAAGGCGCCAAATTATTATTATATATATTTTTTGAATTAGGGATAGGATTAGGGTTAGGGTTAACTGATTTTATTAATTGTTAATTAATAATGCGCCATCTAGCGGATCACTAGCTCGCTCCTGAGTCTCAGCCCTGAGTTGGACTTGGGAGAAGCGCTGTTCCTAGTGGCATTTCTGTAGTCTGTACCACGGCACAGGCACTTGAAACGTTTCAATAAAATATAATGCTATTGCTAACTAAATACGAAATCTATTTACCATCTACCAAATTCTTAATGTTTCTATACTCTCTTTCACTTATTATTGCCGACAGTTTCGTGTAAATTCCGTCCAAATTCTACGTCCAACATACGCTGCCTGCGGCCATTGCTCTCGCGGCTGCACTGTTGCACGCTTACACTTATAAGTTATATATATATATAGCAGGTAGGAAAGCTAGATACAATAATATAACCCAACAAGAGTAGGGTTACAACGCGTTCCTATCCTTTTGTGTGGAGGAACCTGCGGTTTGCTGGTGCGTTTTCAGAGACTAGAACTTCCAAACTGTATTTATTCTCAACACGAACCTTTCTCCGCTGTCTTGGAGCTTACTATGTATCACAATACTCTGTATTAAACTAATATAACCTGTTACAAAAATTCAAAGTGACGAGCGGCGAATATACTGAGCGCCATTTCTGTTGACCTGTGACGTACGCATTCCCAATGCGCATAGCGATCGGCAAACGCAGCGCCCTCTGATTGGTCGGTGAATCCGCTCTTCAAACCGAACAGGTTATATAACAGGTTAACTGTAACAGGTTATATTAGTTTAATACAGAGTATTGTGATACATAGTACGTCCCCGGATAGCGGAGAAAGGTTCGTGTTTAGAATAAACCCAGTTTGGAAGTTGTAGTCTCGAAAAACGAACCATAAAACCGCCCTGAGTGAATCACTCAGGGCGCCTCCACAGAAAACTATAGTACGCATTGTAACCCTACTCTTGTTGGGTTACATTATTGTATCTAGTAGGAAAGCGTGATCGCAAAATTTGTTCGACGCTCGCTTGATTTCACACTCACAGCACGAATACCACATCCAACAGCTTTCATCTTGTTTCTCTTTCAAGAACAGTGTTCACTTGTTATAAAAACATACTGTCTCTGTTCGTAACCGAGCTGTGTCACGCGAAATCACACAAAGTCTGACGAAATTCTCGCGTTCACGAACCTTGCCCTGTAATGTAAATGGCTGTCAGAATCAGGAAACACCTACCGGCGCTCTTCATGACCTCATTCTTGCGCTGCAACGTTTTTGCAACGTTCCAATGGCGAGGCTCGTACGGGAGTTGGAAAGCAGTGTGCCGCCTGCGCGCCGCCTATAGTCCATAAACTGGCACTCGCTCCCACCTCTCAGCTTAGTTACTCGATGGGTAATCGGGGTGGGAGCGAGTACCAGTCTATATAGCCCCCTATATGTCCCTCTGCTCTCATCTATGCATGAAGTGGGCGTGCGTCAACATAGGCATGTAGTTGCCTGTGTGATGTGAGTGTGATATACGGAAAAGCATTAAAAAATGTCAAAATTTGGTTAAAACAGCAAGTGAAATGTCAGGGTGGTTAATTGGTTAATGGTCAGGAATGGTTAATTTGAAATGAAATGAATAATTTGAATTTGAATGCAAAAAATGAACCATAACTTATAAAAGATGGCACTTAATACCAAACCCTGATGGGCTTTCTACAGCAATGTGTTGCCATTCAAACGAGTGTAAAATTAAATTATTTCGAGTTATAATGACAGAGAAATATCCATTTTATTTATACATTGGTTATTGTGGCAGAAATCGTTCTACTTTTCACAATAAACGACGGCCAGTGTGCAAAATGGTTGACTCTATGTGAAACATCTATACTGTGACATATCTATGACTAACTGAAACCATTCAATTGGTAAAATGTTCTGTGCATCTTGAGAAATTGTGAGAAATTACGAGGTTACTACTAGCAATTTTATGCGAAACGCACAACTGTTGCTGCGTACTGCATGACGGCACTAATTTACGAGTCGATAAACCCGGGCTATGGTACTGAGGTATAAATGTTATTTTCGTCTGCATGGCAATTTTAACTATCAGGCTACAATTAAAAAAATCTTTGTTTGCCCTCACCCGTGGAGGCTGAAAAGTTTGGGTAGGTAGGTAGACTTTAATTTTTTTTGAGGGGTTCTTTTTACAAATTCAGCATGGTGTCTACATGCTCAGGTGTGCTTGTGTGGAGGTACCTTTTATGTTGAATGTTTGTTTTGCTTGGTACATAATAATGTATCGCCTACAGATTTATATAATGTACAGTGATACAATTTGTGAAAAAAAAAGAATGAGAAAGATCAATAAAAATGTTTGAGTCGGCCCCTTTTTGGCGGGTCGGTCGGGTGAGGCAAACAAACAATATTTTTATTATGGACTCGATCACTGACAGTTGATGGCTGTAGGAAGGTTGAGGCTAATATATTCTGGCGTAATGAATACTGTGAACTGGTTGATTGGATCATGTCTCTGCCGTCATCAGTAAATGTCTGTTTAAAGGGCAATGGCTTATTGCACGTATGCAGCCAATCAAAATGCTCTGAAAGCTTTCATACATTGATATATGGAGAAATAAGCATGTAAAGTAGTGGCACCTAGTGTTAGTGATCGAATATGACTGAAAGTGAAAGTGGGAAATCAATGAAATTTTGCATTAAACCTTTTAAGTGTATCCTTCCTTAAAACTGAAAGTGTGTGGTGCATTGGTATATTACATATTGAGATGTGAGAACAATAGAATATACTTAGTTGTTCAATTGACTTTAATTATTAACCTGGCCTGATGCAATATTGTTTTTTTAGAGTAGTGAACGGTGACTTTCTAATATTAAAGCCTTGCACCCTCCTTTGTATTTATTCACTCATGATATCATGAAATGCTCATTAATTCTATTTATTCGATCAATGCAGATGTTATATGTCTAGGCCTATATATGAAGTACATGCACTATACAAATGTGTTGTGATTCAATTCTTCGAAGTTCTTACATGTGCAAGTGATGTTGTACAGTTTAAGGGAACTTGTTAGATCAGCTGTGTTGCTTTGGTAGCAATTGTTTATTCCTAACCTTACTTTGTTAAAATGGTTATCACCGCCTCTGGCACAACATCGCATAGCAGTGGGAAACGCTGCCGGTCATAGCAGTGCTGGAGGGGGTATTGTCGTGTGAACATGTCTCCAAGTGGCACGAGTTACTTGGGAAAAGTGTAAGAGCAGGATATTTCCCTTTTCAGAGCATCCCAATTGTGTGAATATTAATGTTGAAGAGTTGTAAATAATTAATATAAGGAACTATCACTTTTTAGGTATAACCCAGAAAATCTCCCAGCATTGGAAAGATATATTGGAATGCAGGCCAGAGAGAATACCTATGATTTGGAAGCAAATCTAGCCGTGCTAAAACTGTAAGTAAAGGCTGCTATTTTTCCGGAACTGCAAAAATGCATTCAGTTACTTATACATCGTGTACTTTATTATCTTATATCGTTGCCTAATCACTTTGTCAGCATTGCTCATCCTTTGAGGCTATAGTGTGCACGTAATTAGGTAAGAGTGATAAACACCTAAGCTCATTACATTTATAATTGAGTGTTGATAGCCAAATTCGAAATTACCACATAGAATGTGATAGTAGTTGTTGTGATGAAATATGCAGTTTACTGTGCATAAAAGAGTTGAATGGTTTTATGTTGGCTGAATAACTAGTTGAAATAGTAACTTTTGCCCAGAATATTCTAAATGTAGAGTATCACTGTATCCATGGTTAAAACTTTGAAATGCAGCATGTCACAGTCAGTAATCATCTCATCATGTAAAAACGTATTATTGATAAACTTAGACCCCTGTCTATATAGGATTGTTGACATTTCCATTGATTGACAGTTATGCAGTGAAACCATCGTTATAGAATAGTCACTTGTCTATAAGGCGTTTTCCTTATGCATGACCTTTATTACAGGTTTGATGGTATAGTTACTAGTTATATAAATTTCTTTATATTTTAAAATATAGTATCATAATTATCAGCTTACTGGAGTGACTGCTGCTATTAGCGTGATTCAAGATTTATGGATATTCTACTGATTTTTGAAATTCTTAGTTTTAGATGGTGATATGATAGTTTATTTCTATTTTCAGGTACCAATTCAACCCAATATTCTACCAGGCATCTGTCGCTTCACTAATACTTCTCAAGGCATTGACCAACCTTCCGCACACTGATTTTGTCTTGTGCAAGTGTCTCATGGATCAAGTGCATTTGGAGGAGGAACCATCACAGCGAATTCTTCTGCTGTCAGAACTTCTAGAAACGTGCAAGTTTAAAGAGTTCTGGGTAAATTGCTTGCATTCTTCAATAAGTGTTTTCTACTTTTTCCCATGTATTTTTTTGTATGTCTCAGTTTTTCGTGAAGAATTGATGTAAGAATGACATTATTTTTGGGAAAAAAAAGTGCATTACTTCTTTCAAGTTTGTCTGAATCGTGGGCTGTCTTTGCATGTGGAGAGATGGTTCAGTATGTACTTCGCAGTGTCTCTCCTAGTAAAGGTGCCATTGGTCTGTGGTGGAATTGGGTTGGCTGGTAATGGGGTGCATTTGCATTATGGTGCATGCTGACTATTTTGAACAGTTAATGAAGTATATCACATGGAATGAAATTTAACCACATTTCAGTACAATCCAGAGACATTTCTAGTACATGATATTCAGACTTATGCTAGCCGCACAATATCCAACCCGAGCACGATCGGGAGGCTTACGTCTTGATCGGGAGGCTTAAGTTTGGCTCGGGAGGTTATTTTGGCCCGATTCGAATTTAGAAATCGGGAGCGGATAGTGTACGAGGGCTTACGGCGCGACTCGGATAGTGTGCGTGGCCATCCGACCCGACGCCGAGCGCTGAGGAAAATTGACCAATCACAGAGCAGTGCCATGGGAACCGCAGTCTGTCAAAATGGCGGGAAAACACTCTCGACGGTGGGCATATGTTTCCATGTTCCGGGTTAGGGTTGGAGTTAGGGTTAGGGTTAGGGTTTTTGCATCCTTCCTTGATATACGGAGTCTGATGCGGAAGTTGATATGCGTAGTATGGAATATGACCATGCGCAACCACCAGCACCATCAGCAGGCTGTATGCATTCAACTTCGGAGATAGCCGAGTTCGTGCGTGACGTACAGTGACGTCACGCGAATACTCTGTTTCATGGAAACATGCCGACCACTCCCGACCCTTAGTACACGCTAAATCCGCTTGGAACGCCACGAGAGTGCCATGGTTTGCGCCAACTTTGAGTCGGACAGTGTGCGGGGGCCTCCCGATCGATCGGGAGCGGGTCGTATAGTGTGCGAGGGCTTAGTGCTGTGCACAGTGCAACATCGTATAGTGTGCGGCTAGCATTAGACATACAGTGAAATTTTCGTGCGATTTAAAAACCAAATTATTTGAACTTTTGTTACTAATGTAAATGAATTGATTCCCTTGTGCAGTGTACGATATACACATACAACGTTTATTGATATAGTATGTGTTCAAGCCTGGTGAACGTATGTTGTACGAGATTTTTTTTAATAATTAACAAATTTTACGTAGTAAGTAAGTAGTGTAAAATAGACCACCTTTTAAAATTTTATTTTATTTTTCTTAAAATATGCATTTACATCTATATATATCAGGAGTAGATAAAGGGAAGGAGTGTGACTCCAATAAACAAGGGAAATTCGTCATTTACTAGCCTTATAATACCTACGATTTACTACGCGTAACTCATCCAACTGGGAGCTCAAATCGGACACAGTACATTCGACCATCATCGAGTACCAGATCGTTTCCTCGTAGACACCCGCAATCCGGAGATACAGACTAAAACATACGACACGATTCTCCAATCTTTGTCCATTAATCAACCGTAGCAATCGCCTATGATTCAGACAAAAGGCAGCACGATTGCCCGGCGTGCCCGCTGCCGCTGCTTTGGCTCTGTTGGAAATGTGGAACGTAGCGTTTGTGGCTCGCGAGGAGATTGGACATCGACGCAATCATAGACGAGCTAATCATGACCTTTTGCAGCTAGTATGCCCCCCCCCAACCGCAATCAGCAGCAGCTCTGGCGGCTCAGCCAGCGTGTATAACGCGTGATATAAACAATACGTACTGTTACGTGCAATACGTGCGTACAATATACGTGCTGTTAGGCTCCTGCTCACGTGCAGAGGTTCGTGTACACGTTGCTATGACTATATTGCTGTCACTGGTCATGTAAATAAATAGTACAATAATAAATAAATATAATAAATAGTAAATAAAACAACTCGGGTATAGAGAAGCAAAAATGTTTATGAGCAAGGACACCAGACGTGTGAGGTCGCTGTCTATGTGCTCAAGCAACACGACACGATCACTGTGGTCGAGAATGCAGCTCTTCTCGAACACTGCTTCTAATGTTTAGCTGCTAATGCTGGCACGTCAGGTGTCTTTAACAGCAGCACACACTTTCTTAATTTCGGCGTCTGTCAGAGCTACGATCTTTCGTGGTGTTTTTCGTCTTCTGTCTTTTCTGGATTATTCTTACGCGGTGCCATGTTGATATTTCACTTATCGCATAGATACTAACCGAAGTTGGGTTAGTATCTATGCTTACCGGCTCTAGCGAGAAACAACAGAACAAACAGATGTTCCGCTGTCGCTGCAGCGGCTCCAGGTACAGCATACAGGCTACAATAGCACGCCGCCGTTGCGTCTATGATTGCGTCGATTTCCAATCTCCCGCGAGCACAAACGCTACCGTTCCACATTCCAACAGAGCCAAAGCAGCGGCAGCGGCACAGCCGGGCAATCGTGCTGCCTTTGTGTGAATCATAGGCGATTGCTACGGTTGATTAATGGACAAAGATTGGAGAATCGTGTCGTAATGTTTAGTCTGTATCTCCGGATTGCGGGTGTCTACGAGGAAACGATATGGTACGATTGATGGTCGAGATGTACTGTGTCCGATTTGAGCTCAAGTTGGATGAGTTAGCCGTTAGTAAATCGAAGGTATTATAAGGCTAGTAAATGACGAATTTCCCTTGTTTATTGGAGTCACACTCCTTCCCTTTATCTACTCCTGATATATATCCTTCAATGTAGGAGTAGTTTCTCTCTCATAACCTAAAGTAGCTCACTTTGTGTTTGGTAAGCAACTACCTTGTCGTATTAACAAGACAGAGGAGAGAATTTGCATATGAATCTTTAAGATCATACCATGTATACGCAAATGTATCGGATGGTTTATTTTTTCGTTGTCATAAATACATAACTTACTAGCCGCGTTCACACGTAGCAAGAATCGCGGTATTTAGCGCTTCACAACGAGGCAAAAATACGAGGCCCAAGAAATACGGTATCTAAACAGATCCGGTATTTCCATGTAAATACGAGGCTTCCCAGACCCCGAATAATTTGACGTGCTTGAGAAATACCGGATTTCTTTTAGACCGCGCATTTCCTCGTGTGAACGCTATAATACCGGATTTCTGAGCCGCCGTATTTTATAGACTGTCTGGCGCTCGACAGTTCCAGTGTAACGCAAGTGGAACTGACGAGGTATACCAGTCTACGTATTTTATCGGCAGTTGGTGCCATTGCATTGTTTATTTTGCATTGTTCGCTGATTGTTAAGCAGGCCGCAGCTCGCAAATACCGTATTTCTGGAGCCGCGAATCAGCGTGTGAACGCTCGGCCGCGTATTTGTCTCAGATACGTATTTCGCAAAATCGGTATTTCAGAAATATGAGGTCTCGTGTGAACGAGGCTAGTATCTGACTACCTAATCTGTAAAATATTTTTTTCTAGCGCGGAAATTCAAGAAGATCCAGATTACGACAGCTGGTATCACAGGATTTGAAGATTCAATACGAAAATGTAGGTGTAAATATCACATCAGTGGAATAACCTCACTTTGACATTTGTTAGTGTTTCCGCTTTGTAAGTATCTTATTCAAAACAAGAAACACAACTCGCCGTGATTCTGTCTGTTTTCTGTAATTGCTAGTGCAATCTTGATTGTACATCGCGTGACTCTCTTACTAGCACCAGCAGAAATTGGTATTCAATTGAAAATGCATGGAAAAGCCATTTTGCCAGTTTTTTAGCTCATCTGACATAGTCAGATTGCAGCTTGTAGAATCGGTATGAGTGTGCAGCCGTGCGTCCGTCCGCCGTGCGTGCGTCCAGCCGTGCGTGCGTCCCTCAACAGTTGGGCAACAAATCTAAACGGCTCGACGTACGGTCACGATACTTCGGAACGTGGGGGTAAACCGAAAATGATTGGGATGTCGAAAGCTGGGGGTCAAAGGTCAAGAGGTGTAAAAGAAGGGGGAACATTCCCTCCTTAACTTAAGGTATAGGAGAAATCAGAATTGTGGCACAAATCTAAACGGCTCGACCTAGGGCTTGTAATAGTCGGTGTATATCATTATGGTAGGAAAAAGCCATCAACTGTGCTGAAATTGGAGGTCACAGTCAAAGATCAATGGGCACAGGACAGATTTTTACACATTTTCTGAGGACATGGTCTGACGGAGCGATTGAAAAAACTTTTTTGTTTTTAGCAGTGACCTACAATTTTATTGGCTTTATTGAAAGGACCATTAAAATGTACTTTCGCTTGACATGCGAAGAGTAAGTGTCGGATAATCTTTTTGACCCTCAAGAGGAGGGTTAAACATGGATTTGTTGACTGTTAACAAAGACTGAACTGCTTTTGCTATTGTGGATGTCAGGCTACAGTTGCACAGTTCAATTGCAAAGGCAAATGTTTGTTGAACAAGGTTTTGACGCTCCTTAAATCATATTTATTTTCTAAGCAGTCTGAACTAGCACCTGTATTTAGCACACTGTAATGAACCCTGAATGCTTGCGTGGGTAGCAAAAACATGGGGGCAGCCTATTATGCATGCATGGGTTAACTGGCACTATTCTAATCATAATTATTGCCTGGCAACTGCAATGCAGATGTGTTAACTTCACAGTTGAGCGAAATTCTCGCCGCCTGATATACTTGATTCAGCAACTCAATGGAGTGAGTTATCATGCACGAAGGGTGATGCACTATTTGATTATTGATGACACTTGCACGCGGCCATCTCGCGGCACTGCCTTTTGCTACAGAGCCCGCTCCACCCGCCCCTCCCCCCACTCTCCCCCCACTACCACCCACTACGCTGCGCGCTCGACGCATATTCATGATAACATGTTAATATAGCGAAGTCATTAAAGGTTACACAGCTGTATCTTTATTACTGTACTACCGGTATAGCAAAGCTAGCTATCATAGATTTGAGATCTGTATTAGTAGTATCCTAGATATTGCCTGAGCGCGAAAGCGGTGGCGCGAGGGCCGCACTTGATTCGGTGCCAGTGAGTTTATCAGAAGAATACCCGCTACAGTAGAGTCCCTATATACAGAGAGTTGCCGCCATGACGAGTCGGAAAAAATAGGGCACGTGATCGCTGCCGGCATGTTGTTTCCAAATGGATCAACACCGCTGCCGCTTAAAGTACAGCGCTGTATGGATACGCTGTACAATGCGTCCATAGTAATTAATTAGACTAATCGTGCTTCAATATAACTCAAGATTTACAGAGATTATAGCTAAGATATTGTCTATGTGTATGTGCTAGATTTATAGAACTGCAAAACAAATATTACAGCTGCGAGCGAGTGGAGAGTGGAACGCATTTATCTTGTGAATTACAGTTGTCATTATTCTTCCAAAATGACTAGCTGCTGGTTTTACACTAAGAAAGTGTACAATTAAGCTATCATATGCGCGCGAACGATTTGAGTTACTTTTCTAGAAATCTAGATAATCATAAACACACATGTTTATCCATGATCTCTGTGATTCTTGAGTTTATTGAAGCGCGAGTGGTTTAATTAATTAGCAAGTGTCTACGCGCGGTATCGCACAGGCTAATATACGCACGGCTATTGGGCGGTAAGAAAGTGTACAATTAAACTATCATATGGCGCGAACGATTTGAGTTACATTTCTATAAATCTAGCTACACATAGACACATGTCTTAGCTATAATCTCTGTAATTTTTTAGTTTATTGACGCACGATTAGTCTAATTAATTACTACGGACCATTGTACAGCGTATCCATACAGCGCTGTACTTAAGCGGCAGCGGTATTGATACATCTGGAAACAACATGGCGTCAAATCCTGAGTTGGCGCAACTCTCTGTATATAGGGACTCTAGGCTACAGTACACGTCAGTTGAGCGCTGTCGCTCTGCGGCACTTGTTGTATTTAAAGTTTATCGTTGTTATGTGAAGGGCAGCCATGGCCTACTCTGCTTGTGGCCAGATGCAGTCATGATTTCGTGTAATCAATATTTTGCAGTTATCTGTCATGTCGTTGGAATCACATACCAAACTATTGAGCGAAGCTTGCTGCAAGATCTTCTGGGTGGAATATCTGGTAGGATGCATTTAATCATTTCATTGTGTTAGTAGCAAAATAGCCGAAGGCATGTTAGATGCATAACTATTTGGATCTTCTACACTAGTCATAAATATTGTTTAACATCTCTTATCTGTATGTAGATAACACTTGCTGTAAATCTACAGTGTAATTGTAATAGCATTTCTGAGTGAATTTTTGTGATTCTACGATTATTAGTTCAGTTTCAAGTTTGGCTGTCATTAATTTTCTTGTTGTGATAAGGCCAAAACAAAATATATGCGTGGTTACCGTTACATGCCGAAAAAATAGGGTAGGTAGGGAAAACTTTTTATTTTCTTGAAATATTTTATTTACAAACCATGTCCGAAGGATGTGCGTTGTGCCTTTTGAAGCAGGAACTGTCCAATTCATATTTTTTTTTTTTTTTTACTTTAAAGAAAATTGACAATAAAATGTTTAGGGTTGCTGGAAATAAATAGGGTCGGTCGGGAAACCGTAACCACACCTATACTTTGTTTTGGCCTAATGAAACCATGAGCTTTTCAACTCAACTAAGTAGAATAGCTTGCAGATGAAATGGAAATTCCCAATATGATTTTTGTGTGATTTTTATCGATTTGATACTATTCATTCTGCCGGATTTCTTTGGGTGGTATCAATGATTTTTTTAATACTTGTTATCCTGCATTTACCAATTTTTGACGAGCTCATGCTGTATAACATGTATAATATATAGATATCTTTAATGTGGAATTTTATACATTTTTCTATTTTGATGAACAGATGCACAGTTGAAACAGTGGATGACAAAGTATGGGTGGAAGGAAGGTGGTAACCATGTGTACATAGCCAATCAAGAGGAGAACATCAAGACTAAAAACATTACTGAGAAAATCGAATTCGAGCGTGAGTACACATACAGTTACACATATAGTGAACCTGGTTTGCATACATGTGCTTCTATTTGCTTGAAGAATTCAAGTGAGAGCTATGATAACAGATTTTTCAACTATATTTTGTAAATTGGGTAACGTTTTGTCAATGATTGTTATTAGTAACTGTGATTGCCAGTTGTCATGTTTTATAACCTTTGATTACTTTTGTTATTTTTAGATGTTGCTGCAATCATGGCCATGTCCAAGTGAATCTATCCATCTCGTCCTTCTCCTTATTTCATGTAATAAATACTGTAGCAGGAGATGCAGTTTCAATAAAATATGCCATTTTGTCAGTCTATGCCATATTGTTTGGTTTTCACAAATACAAATATCTTACATGTACCTAATGTTGATTCCATGTTAAATAGAGGGGCTTAAAAATAATGCTATCCTATTGTAAAACTATACATGTGCACGGTGCTTTTGTAACTAACCTAAAGTGAGAAACAAGGACATTTTGCTTTCAGGTATTCAATGAACTAAGAACTGTTTCTCAGCTCTGTCAGAATCATAGATATCACATATACATGTATATATGATATCTATGGTTGAAGATGGGCAATACCTTTATAATAATCCCTTGCATTGACTGAATGAGTTTCCACAATGCATATCATCTCCATTTACTGTAATGCATAAAACTGACTAAAAGATAAGTCGTGCTGCTTGGGTGTACAAATCATGGACATTTATTCAGGTGTAAGTGTTGATTTCACACCACACAGTTTTGCATACATACATGCAAGAGATAAGATATAAGAGCAACTATGAACATTTTCATTGGTGATTATTGCTAACAAAATATTTAATCCTTCATTAGGCATTCGTTATCATGGTGCTTTGTTCTGTTAGGTTTCAGTTCAGTTTATTAATACAGGTTTTTTTTACTATAATTGCCAGTGTACACATTTGTGATGGGTTTATACATCCATTAATAGTTTCATTCTGTCACTGACATGTATAATGTTACTTAAATTTTGTTTCTGGATGAACATCAACAAATATCGGACAGTGTAGTCAACTGGTGCGCATGACTAACCTAAAACCAAACCCAAACTTATTTCGCAGCTTGTGAGATGCTCTGATGCAGTAGACACACTCCAAATTTGTAAGGCATCTAATAAACGTTTGACTGCATAATAACACTACTTCTACTTGTCATGTGCTCACGATAAATGAGACCACACTTCTTTTTACACCTCAAATTACATGTATTTTATAGGCCCTCGCCACTATCAGCATTGTAAACTATTCCTCGAAATTGTACAATGTACCGCATTGTAGGTAGGAAAAAACTTAGCTATTGTAATGTCCGCTACACTCGCTTATAGCGTGCAAGGTGGTCTTTTAAGTCATTTCTGAGAACAAAGTTCTGTATAAGCCACGAATTACAGTTACATTTATCACAGAGGTATCACATAAAAGATAGACATTAACAAAAGAAAAACTTAAATTCTGTAGACCTATACATAATAGGTTAATATTCACAACAGGAGTCAAACACTGAATAACATACACTTGAGCTTTCAAACAAATATACAAATATATCGACTATTACATTAGATTTAAATATAATTTAGAAATTTAATATATTGATTATTTTGTTGTGACTATTTTATACAAATGGTGCAGTTCATATTGTATCACAGAACATCGTGTGGTGCAAGGCTCATATCTCGTAAAATTAACACAGTCTCACTCTTCATGTCACTTCTTTAATTTGATATACACTGAGCCACGATTATTCATAGTTGGATGTTTTTATTATACATTATTTATAATAAATTATCCACGAACAAAGCGATGGTATCTGTATATGCTCATAAAGTATGTAATTAAGTGCCCATAAAGTATGTAATTAAGAGCCTATAAAGTATGTAATTAAGTGCCCATAAACCCCACTTATGTGCTTTTGATATGGCATAACAGGATCGTGTGTATATGTCTTATTACACTCGTTAACACTTGGTGTTTTAATACTTGCTTGCATTGTTTCTTGTGCGTCATTAGTCCAGTTATTGTATCGGTATTTCTCCGTATGTCAGATTTCATTTTGTATTAGGTACCTTAGCATTTCATTTCTATTTCTTTTGGATTGTGATTGCAGTAGTTATTGCCGAAAATCACAGTCACCTCGAAATATATTCGATACTATATATACAAATTAAGCTGTTATTCTAATTTTACACGGTATGATATTTTAATATCACCTCTCTGCATATAGTCCCTAAAAAGATGTGATCCGCGTTTCTATCTCATTCAATGATAATTTTTCATATTCAATATAACGACACTATAACATAATTATTTAAACAAGTAAATAAATGTACACAAAAGAGCATAGCATAATACTTATATTAGTATCTAAGTATTATCCTCTCTGAAGTATATATATATATATGGTATCAGGACAAATACCCCCCGGACAATTACCCCCCCCCATGCCATTCACCCCCAGACAATTACCCCTTTGACAATCACCCACCCGGACAATTACCCCCAGGACAATCACCCCCCGGACATTTACCCGCCGGACATTTAACCCACGAACATTTATCCCATTACGAACATTTAGAGGAGGAGTTAGAGGACGACGGAGAAGGTAGTGGAGGAGGAGGAGGTAGAGGAGGGTGCAGGTGGTTGTTGAGGGAGGAGGGGAGAATGTGATGGAGGAGGAGGAGATTACGCGTAGTAAATCGTAGGTATTATAAGGCTAGTAAATGACGAATTTCCCTTGTTTATTGGAGTCACACTCCTTCCCTTTATCTACTCCTGATATATATCCCTTCAATGTAGGAGTAGTTTCTCGTCTCATAACCTAAAGTAGCTCACTTTGTGTTTGGTAAGCAACTACCTTGTTCGTATTTAACAAGACCAGAGGAGAGAATTTGCATATGAATCTTTAAGATCATACCATGTATACGCAAAATGTATCGGATGGTTTGATTTTTTCGTTGTCATAAATACATAACTTACTAGCCGCGTTCACACGTAGCAAGAAATCCGGTATTTAGCGTTCACACGAGGCAAAATACGAGGCCCAAGAAATACGGTATCTAAACAGATCCGGTATTTTATGTAAATACGAGGCTTCCCAGACCCCGAATAATTTGACGTGCTTGAGAAATACCGGATTTCTTAGACCGCGCATTTCCTCGTGTGAACGCTAAATACCGGATTTCTGAAGCCGCGTATTTTATAGACTGGTCTGCGCTCGACAGTTCCAGTGTAACGCAAGTGGAACTGACGAGCGTATACCAGTCTACGTATTTTATCGGCAGTTGGTGCGCATTGCATTGTTTATTTTGCATTGTTCGCTTGATTGTTTAAAGCAGTTCGCAGCTCGCAAATACCGTATTTCTGGAGCCGCGAATCAGCGTGTGAACGCTCGGCCGCGTATTTGTCTCAGATACGGTATTTCGCAAATACCGTATTTCTGGAGCCGCGAATCAGCGTGTGAACGCTCGGCCGCGTATTTGTCTCAGATACGGTATTTCGCAAATCCGGTATTTCAGAAATATGAGGTCTCGTGTGAACGAGGCTAGTATCTGACTACCTAATCTGTAAAATATTTTTTTCTAGCGGGAAATTCAAGAAGATCCAGATACGACAGCTGGTATCACAGGATTTGAAGATTCAATACGAAAATGTAGGTGTAAATATCACATCAGTGGAATACCTCACTTTGACATTTGTTAGTGTTTCCCTTTGTAGTATCTTATTCACAAACAAGAACACAACTCGCGTGATTCTGTCTGTTCTTCTGTAATGCTAGTGCAATCTTGATTGTACATCGGTGACTCTCTTACTAGCACCAGCAGAAATTGTATTCAATTGAAAATGCATGGAAAAGCCATTTTGCCAGTTTTTAGCTCATCTGACATAGTCAGATGCAGCTTGTAGAATCGGATGAGTGTGCAGCCGTGCGTCCGTCCGGCCGTGCGTGCGTCCAGCCGTGCGTGCGTCCCTCAACAGTTGGGCACAAATCTAAACGGCTCGACGTACGGTCACGATATTCCGAACGTGGGGGGTAAACCGAAAATGAGTTGGGATGTCGAAGCTGGGGGTCAAAGGTCAAGAGGTGTAAAAGAAGGGGGAACATTCC